CCACAAGGCACTGCAGCAGGGGTGGCACCAGCATAAACATCCAAAGTCATGTGGTGTTTTAGGAAAGGAACTGAGATCAGAAAACCAGGTTAGGCTGGCACACGCTCACAGCCCGGAAAATGCCTTAGATGGATTTGGCGATGAGCAGGTAAGCAGAACAGAATCCCTGCTGCAGGCCAGAACTCAAAGGGCTTGGGGGGCAGCTTTCAGACTGTAGATGTCACACTCAGAAGACTTCAGAGCCTAACACTGCACTGGACTGAATATTAAGTGGATATTGAAGGCATTTCCCCTCTGCTCTTTCTCTGCTTTTGAATTCTCAATAGCCAGTGAGTTCTGGGGCCCACAGCCTAATGGAGTAGCAGCTTCCAATTCTCCAGGTCAGAATCATACAGGAGAAAAGGGAGCAGAGGCTCAGGGCAGCAATGTCCTACAGAACTTTCCACGATGGTGAAATGTTCTACATCTGCAATGTCCATTGCCACATGTGGCTGTTGAGCACTTGAAACATGGCTAGTGCAACTGAGGAACTGAATTTTTTATTCTATTTAATTGAAACTGGTTTGAAAATTCAATAGCCAAATGCAGCTAGTGACTATGTGTTAGACACTAAGCCTCAGTGAACATCCTTTCTTTACCTACCTCCAGGGCTTGGAAGGGAAAAAGATAGGATTAATTAGAACAGAACATCCCAATCGGCGATCAAGCCAGGAAAAGCAGATGGTGTAGAATGGGAAACAGGGGAGACCCTAGTGTCAACCTTCTTCCTAGACTCGGACACCAGCTGCCTGAACTCTGGCAAGTGTTATCCAGCTCTGAGAGTCACTGTTTCGGAAAAGGACTTCAAAAAGGTCATCTGAGGCTACCAGGTGGCCCCAAAACCATGGTCCAGTGAGGAAGGAAATACCTTCCACACCTTCCAATAACCCCACAGGAAATCTCCCCCGTGATTTTGGAGACCCCACATCCCTCCTCCTCTATGGAAAGTATCTCACGCTGTGCCTGAGGACCCAAGGTCACACGTCCGTGTCCATCAAAAGTCCCTCAGGATTTCAGTTACATGTGTGTTAACTGAGTGCCTCCCAGATCATCAGAGAAAAAGCTGAACTTAAATAATTTCCTGTCCAGGAACAAGCTGTCACCTGACACAGTGGGAAAGCATCCAAGCTAGATAGTAGGAGTGACGCTGGGCTCCACCCACAACCTCCAGCCTAGAAAGGGACCTGCTCTATCAGGACAGCCAGGGACTAGATGAATGGGTTCTGCTAATCCAAGAGAGACCTAAACTAGTCCTGAAAAGACTAAAAACACAGTGAATTCATAAGAAAATAAGATGGTTACTTCCATTAAACTCAGACCCCAGCTGCTTACAGCCGCCAGAAGCCAGACCAGGGCACTGTGCTGGTGTGGACAGGGTTGGGAGAACCCAACTGTGGGAAATATTGCAGAGGCTGATGGATGACAAAGAGGACCATGTGCCAGGCTGAAGCCAACTTGGCTCCTTTCTGTGCACCTTCCCTGTCTCACTCTTCCTCCAGCTTACAGGGTCAACCATCCCAAGAGGTAGGACCTTGACCACCTCCCAGCTGTGAGGAGGGTGAAGGCAGGAGCTGAACTCATGCCCGGGCTTGCACTGGCCCAGAAGGGACTTACACAAGTTCTGGACTTTCTCTGACCATAGCTTCCACATCTATTTGGAGGTGTCCTTTTTAAAAAAATAAGCTTTCACACACATATTCATTGCAGCATTATTCACAATAGCCAATAAGGGTTTGATGGATAAAGAAAATATGGGCCAGGTGCAGTGACTCACGCCTGTAATCCCAGCGCTTTGGGAGGCTAAGGTGGGTGGATCATGAGGTCAGGAATTTGAGACCAGCCTGGCCAACACAGTAAAACCCTGTCTCTACTAAAAATACAAAAATTAGTTGGGCCTGGTGGTGCACACCTGTAGTCCCAGCTACTAAGGAGGCTGAGGGAGGAGAATCACTTGAACCTGGGATGTGGAGGTTGCAGTGAGCCAAGATCACGCTACTGCACTCCAGCCTGGGCAACAGAGCAAGACTCCGTCTCAAAAAAATTTTTTTTTAATTTAAAAATTAAAAGAAAAAATATATGTATATAATGAAATATTATTCAGCAATATTATTAGAGAAAAATATTCCTGAAACATTATTCAGGAAGAAAAATCCTGTCAATGCTACAACACGGATGAAACTTGAGGACAATATGCTACGTGAAATAAACCAGTCACAAAAGACAAATACTGCAGTATTCCATCTGCATAAGGTATCTAAAGTAGTCAAACTCATAGACACAGAAAGTAGAATGGTGGTTTACAGAGGCTGAGGAGAAGGGGAAACAGGGAGTTAGTCTTCAGTGGATACAGAGTTTCAGTTTTACCAGATGAAAAAATTCCAGAAATCTATTACATAACAATGTGCAAATGGTTAACACTACTGAACTAGAGACTTAAAAACTGATAAGATGGTAAGTTTTACGTTTTATCACAATTTAAGTTTTTTAAACAAAAAATCCAACCTGGGCAACACGATGAAACCCTGTCTGTACAAAGAATATAAAAATGGTCTGGACATGGTGGTGTGCACCCATAGTCCCAGCTACTCGGGAGGCTGAGGTGGGAGAATGGCTTGAGCCAGGGAGGCAGAGGTTGCAGTGAGCCTTGATGGCACCACCGCACCCCAGCCTGGATGACAGAGTGAGACCCTGTCTCAAAAAAAAAAAAAAATTCATCAAGTTTTTCGTATATTCTCTTATCATACATGCCCATTGTGAAAAATGTGGAAAATTGGAAAAGTACTTCTTGCAAGTTGGGTTTTTTTTTGCTTTTTTTTTTTTTTTTTTGAGACGGAGCCTTGCTTTGTCACCCAGGCTGGAGTGCAGTGGCGCAATCTTGGCTCACTGCATCCTGCTTCTCCCGGGTTCAAGCAATTCTCCTGCCTCAGCCTCCCGAGTAGCTGGGATTACAGGCACCCGTCACTATGCTTAGCTAATTTTTTGTATTTTTAGTAGAGACAGGGTTACACCATGTTGGCCAGGCTGGTCTCGAACTCCTGACCTCGTGATCTGCCTGCCTCAACCTCCCAAAGTGCTGGGATTACAGGCGTAAGCCACCGCGCCCGGCCTGCAAGTTTTGTGAGTATAAAACCTGCCCATAATTTAAACATGATATAATAAGAATAGAAAAAAGTCATAATTATCTGCCCTACTCTGGGCCTTCTCTCTAGAGAGTTTTACATTTTTCTACTTTTAGATGGTCATTACCCTAACACCAAGTAATTTGCTACTAAAGTTTTATCTGTAAACTTCAGATATCTACAACTCCTGCCTAAGAAAAATGAGGGTGTTCTTTTTTTAATTTAATTTTTTTTTTTTTTAGACAGGTTCTCACTCCATCACCCAGACTAGAGTACAGTGGTGCTATTTCTGCTCATTGTAACCTCTACCTCCTGGGCTCAAGTGATCCTCCCACCTCAGCCTCTCAAGTAGCTGAGACTACAGGTATACACTACCACACTCAGTTAATTAAATTTTTTTTTTTTTTTTTTTTTTGTAGAGACAAGGTCTCACTATATTGCCCAGGCTGGTCTCAAACTCCTGACCTTAAAGCAATCCACCCACCTCAGCCTCCAAAGTGTTGGGATTACAGGCATGAGCCACTGTGCCTAGCCTAAAATGAGGTTTTAGATCAGTCACCCAACCCCTACCTTTCTTTTTAACCCTCTTGTTTTTAATAATTTACAATTTTCAGTTATTCTATTGGTTATCTTTGTAACATTTAACAATGTACTTAAAGTTCATTTGATTTCTGGTTGGGTCAAATTTCAATAGTCTCCTCTTGTAAAGTAAGTTAACTTGAACTCTTACCTGTCTTTCTACCAAGATGTCCCCTCCTATCACCAACTTCTGTTAGTTTTACTTCTATATTTATATTATTGTGGTTGATAACATTTAATTCAATCTTTCTTATTTTACCATAGATTGATTCTAGAGGTTGAAAACCTATACACTATGTTTACATGAGTAAACATACAATATGACTTTGTCAATATTGTTCACTCAGTGTGACAGCACCGCACTTCCCTCTCTATGGGTCCACTGTCATAAGGGAGACGACCTTTGATCACTGTGGGGAACACCTGGTTATAAAGGTGTTTGATGAATGCGAGGGCTCAGAATCTCCCACACACACACAAATGTTTACTTTCTACAAATTTTTCACAGTTAAAACAACAATAATATCAGGGCACAGATTATGGAGAATATCATCCTAAATGAAGTCAATCGTTGCCAATATGGGAAATTCCCCTGTGATCCACCCAAATAGTCTTCCCACTTGCCTGACTTGCCGCTGTAATCAGTAATTCACTCCTTTGCAGTTAAGCAAAGCCCTCCACAAATCTTCCTGGGAGGGCCACCACATTAAGCGGCTGACACCTTGGTGCAACCCATTTTATCAGATTGCTGCCTTCCTGTATGTCAGGAAGGGTGAGCCAGCTCCTATAAGCACAGGACGCCAAGTAGGTGGAGCTGCTGCATGGCCAGAAGGGGAAGGCAGCTCTTCCCTGACTTCCCAGTCGCCAGCCAGCCCCTGCTGGGAAGGGCAGTGGGTAGCAGCTGAAGCTTTCCTCGCTTCCAGCTCCCATTCTCACTGCTGACTAAGGTGTGCGGAGGCTGATGTTGGCAGCACTGCTAAAAGGCTGAGATGCCACTGCAGCTCCAGAAGTGCTGGGCTGGCAGCAGCCGCCTCCCCAACACAGCCCTGCAGGCTTCCACCTGCCCAGAGCAATCGAGAAAAAGGATGTCAGGAGGTCAAAAGAAAACCAGGGCAAAAGACCCTAGGGAAAGAGCCATAGGCTCTAGGGAAAACCTGAAAGAGCTTCAGGAAAGAGGGTCGAGGGGTGCCATCTTCTGCCTCCAAATGCTGGGGTTGACCTAAGCTGACAAATGTTCTTTTTCCTCCTGCTTTTTCATCATAGCTCATATCATCTGTGAATTGTCTGCTCTGTGCCTGTCTCTACCATATATACGACTTCAGGCTCCATGAGGGCAGAACCTGCCATGTCTTATCTCCACTACATCTTCATGCCTAGCACAGTGCCTGGAAGACTGCAGGTAACTGAATGAAGCACTAGGCACATGCAGAATTGATATGCTTTTTGGTTTGCAAATGTCCTTCTCCTCAGCAGGTCTGTAACTTACTCACCTCTGTCCTTCCACATGCAAGCAGCGTTAGCTCAATACATATAGACTAAATCCAACTGAAATGCTGAGAATCAAAGGAAAGGATTGTCTCTTCAGCCAAAGCAAGGGCCTTTTGGGTTGGTTTAGGGAACTAGGACAACCCAGGGCCCTCCAGTGTATTATTAGTTTGATGCAAAAGTAATTGTGGTTTTTGTCCTTTTCTTTTTTAAGGGCAAAAACCACAGTTACTTTGGCATCTACCTAGTAACGCCCACCAGACTTCTTGCAGTCCGGGGTTGTACAAGTGAGTGCCTATTGAGGAGGAAGAGAGACTCAGACACCAAGAAAAGCAGCTTTTGGTGTCCATTTTATATATTTACAGTATTAGTAGATACACTCACATCTGTGAGAAAGGATGTCTATCCAGGAGTTTTCACTCCAGCTTTGTTTGAAATAGTAAAATGTTGGAAACAACCTAAATGTCCCATTTATTGAGAATTGGGTTAAATAAATGATGGTACTTCCATTTAATGGAATTCACTGTGGCCATAAAACAATGCAGAAGCCCTTTATGTGCTGATGCGGAATATTCTCCAAGATGTACTTTTTGTGTGTGTGTGTGTGTGTGTGTGTGTGTTTTGAGATGGAGTCTTGCTCTGTTGCCCAGGCTGGAGTGCAGTGGCATGATCTCAGCCCACTGCAACCTCCACCTTCTGGGTTAAAGCGATTCTCATGCCTCAGCCACCTGAATAGCTGGGATTACAGGCACGTACCACCATGCCTAGTTAATTTTTTTATTTTTTAGTAGAGACGGGGTTTCACCATGTTGACCAGGCTCGTCTCAAACGCCTTGCCTCAAGTGATCCACCTGCCTCAGCCTCCCAAAGTGCTGGGATTACAGGCATGAGCTACCATGCCCAGCCAAGATGTACTGTTAAGTGAGAAAAGTAATGCATACACAGTATGTTGTGTACATTTGTGAAAAAACAAAAAAAGGAAGAAGAGTACATACATATGTAGTTATTTGTACATGTAAAATTCTCTCCTGATAGAAATAGAAGAAGTTGGTAACACTAATTGTGGGGAAGAAAACCACGTGATTTGGAGACACGTAGTAGGGAAACTTCACTTTTCTACTTTTTTTTTTTTTTTTTTGAGATGGCGTCTTGCTCTGCCACCCAGGCTGGAGTGCAGTGTTGCTGTCATAGCTCACTGCAGCCTCAGACTCCTGGGCTCAAGCAATCCTCCCACCTCAGCCTCCTGAGTAACTGGGACTACAGGCACATGCCACCACGCCTGACCCTACCTTTTGAATTTTGAATCATGTGACTGTGTGATTGATTGACTGATTGATTTTTTATTTTTTTGAGACGGAGTCTTACTCTGTCACCCAAGCTGGAGTGCAGTGGTCTGATCTCGGCTCACTGCAACCTCTGCCTCCCGAGTTCAAGCGATTCTCCTGTCTCAGCCCCGGAGTAGCTGGGATACAGGTGTGCACCACCATGCCTAGCTGATTGTATTTTTAGTAGAGACAGGCTTTCACCATGTTGGCCAGGCTGGTCTCAAACTCCTGACCTCAGGTGATCCACTCACCTCAGCCACCCAAAGTGCTGGGATTGTAGGCGTGAGCCACCACACCCAGCCGTATTTTTAAATGTAAATAAAATTGAATTTTGAAATAAATAATAACAAATGCCTCATTTATGCCAGTCGATATCTTTCAAATCTCTTTTTCAGTTTAGCAACTCTGTGAAATGGCTATGGGAAAATAAATTATCCTCATGTTCCAACTAAGAAAGCAGACTTAGAGAAATAAGGTAAGTACCTAAGTGCATGTGTGCACATGTGTGAGAATGTAGGCCAGTGTGAGGTGTGTGAACATGTGACTGTATAATGTGACTATATGCAGTGTGTGACTGTATAATGCACGTGTGTGTGAATATGCATGTGTCAGACTATAGAGCATGTGTGTGAATGAGTGTGTGACTATGTAAAGCACACGTGTGAGTGTATCAACACTGTATGACTGTGAAAAGTGTGTTGTGGGTATGTATGAACATGTATGTGTGGTTGTGTAAGGAACATGTGTATGAATGTGTGTGAACATGTATGTGTGAGACCATGTGAAATAAAGCATGTGCAGATGTGCCCCTGAGGCTTGGGAGGCCTGGTCTGGAAGAAACCAATCATAGAGGTGGAGGAGGCCCTGAGGAGACAAAAAGCCGTGGGAGCAGGAGCAAGGGGAGGAGAGGAGGCTGGGGTGCAGCTGGGCCTGGAGCTTGGAGAGAAGGCCTAAGGTGCTGGTCGCTGGAAGAGCACCACCATGCCTGGGTCTGAAGTCCTCAGGGCCAGTACCCACCAGGGCCAGAGCCCAGGAGTGGCATTGCTACTCCCGGAGGAGGCTTTTCCTGGCCCCACCCACATCAGAGAGAAGGGGCTGGTCCGGTGAGCCCCAGCAGGAGCAGTCATTAACCATGGAAGCTGACTTGGTGCAGCTGGAGGTGGAGTTGGAAGTGTCTGCATCTCACTGGCAAGCTGCTTCCCTCCTCGCTGCATGCTCCATTCCTGAGCAAACGCTAGAGCTACAGAGACACAGCCCCCAGCCTCTCCCACCTCAGAAAGCTGGGAGGGCCCAGGCCTAGGGAAGGGATGGTGGAGTGGGCAGGCATCCAGGGAAGGTATGGGGATTGGAGGGGACATGGAGAATATTTTAAGAGTGGATTTGGTGTGGTCTTGTGCAAACTGCTGTGCTGGGAAGGCAAGTGTCTACGCTGCTGGCAGTTTCCTCTTCATCCTGCTGGAGCACCTGGCACCCTCCATACCTCACGATGGCCAGATGTTCCACTGTCTCCATGGAATGCAGACGTTAATGTGGCAGTTCAGCGTCTGTCCTGAGCATTGATGTCCTTGCCAGGCTGCTGAACCTCTGTGTGTGAGTGCACATGAGTGTGTGTGTGTGTGTGTGTGTACTGTGTGAACAAGTGTAAGGGATCCTGGAAAGGGGCCTATCTTGCCCTTGGAGCTGAGGGTAGCACCACTTCTTTTTTTTTTTTTTTTTTTTTTCTTTGAGACAGAGCCTTGCTCTCTCGCCCAGGCTAGAGTACAGTGGCTCGATCTTAGCTCACTGCCAACCTCCGGCCTCCCGGGTTCAAGCAATTCTCCTACCTCCCATCCTCCTGAGCTAGCTGGGATTACAGCGTACACTGCCACCGACCCTCGGCTAATGTTTGCTATTTTTAGTGGAGACGGGGTTTCACCATGTTTGCCAGGCTTGGTCTCGAGACCTGACCTCGGTCCGATCCACCCTCCTCAACCTCCCAAAGGCTGTGATTACAAGCATTAGCCACTGCCGCGCCAGCTGCAGCACTTACCTCTTAATGCGCTCCTAAGGAAAGGCCCAAGCCACACAGGTGCAAAGCAGGAAGTGTCCCTGTTTGTGGTTGGAAGTTACATCCCCACAAGAGAAGGATTACTGAAGTCCTAATATCCGAGTACCTGTGGAGTGGTGACTTTATTTGAAACAGCATCGGGTCTTTGCTGAGATCAAGTTAAAATGGAAGTATTGTTAGGTGGGCCGCTGATTGACCAGTACTGATTGCATGATCCTAATATTTTAGGGGAAATTCTTAGACTTAGAACACAAAACAAGGGAGGGACACCTTAATGAAGATAAGGGCAGATATGGCGGTGATGCATCTGCAAGCCAGCGGAGCAGCAAAGATTGGCGAAGGCAGCGAACTGGGGCAAGCCTGGACTGTTCTGAGACATACTGATGGGAACAGCATGTGTGTGTGGTTGTGTGAGCAGCCATGATGTATGACTGTGTGGTAAAGCATGTATGTTGTGTGGCTATGCTGAAGTAAAGCATGTGTGAATGTGCAACCCGCAGCCTGATCAGATCTCCCTCCACAGCGCTCGGAAGGAAACTAACCTGCCAACAACCTTGATCTCAGACTCAAGCCATCCCGTACTATGGGACATAAATGTTCTAAGCCACCCCAGTGTTGGTGCGTTGTTAGGATGTTCCTCTGAGAAAGTACGCAGGCATGATAGACACCGCCAGTCAAGAACGGTGGAACTGAGTCTGATCCAGCTCACCACCCAGTGTCATCCGCCCCTGGGTAAGTCACTCAAGTTCTAGGAGGCCTTCTTTTTTCTTAAAGTGGGAGTGGGGAAAGAGCATCGCCCCTCCCCAGGCCTGTTGTGAGGATTCCATGGGTTTTGCCCACTGGCCAGCCACATGCTAAGGGCTTAGTAAACTTGTGGCTTTTATTGTTATTAAGAACACAGCTGTTTTCAGGGTCTCTGTCAAATTTCCTGATGACACAATATCTCCAACCTTGCACAAAGGGTCCAAACATGGAGAAACCGAAAGAGGAAAACAGAAGAGAAAGCCATGTCGTGGAGGGCACACTGTGCCAGGCATGGTTGCTGTGTGCTTTTCCCAGAGGAATTTAAATTCTAGGCTGGGCGCGGTGGTCACGCCCTGTAATCCAAAGCACTTTGGTGAGGCCAACCCACAGGCGGGACACTTGAGGGTCAGGAGTTTGAGACCAGCCTGGCCAACATGGTGAAACCCCGTCTCTACTAAAAATACAAAAAATTAGGCTGAGTTGTGGGTGGCACATGCCTGTAGTCCCAGCTACTGGGAGGAGGCTGAAGGCACAAGAATCGCGTTGAACCCAGGGAGACAAGAGGTTGCAGTGAGCTGAGATCATGCCACTACCCTCCAACCTGGGCAATAGAGTGAGACCTTGTCACAAGTAAATAAATAAATAAATTCTAGCATTCAAAAGTCTCATGAGAGGGAGACCTGGGACCCAGGGGAAGGACCTACAAGTGGGGATGGAGGGTGAGGGACAGGTCTGATAGGGGAAGTGAGGCAGGAACCTCCAGGGGAAGGGACACCCAGGCCCTGAGTGCCCCTGTTCCCCCTCCCTGCCCAGCCCCTAGCCATGCCCGCCATCGTGGGGAGGTGCCTCATGGGAGATGTGCAGACCACAAACATCACGGCCAGTGGAGCCAGAGTCACCCGACCCGCAATAATACGCCTCTCTGCCCCAGCGGAGACAGAGGGCATTGTGTGTGCGGCTGCGGCCTGAGACTCGCAGCACAGCCTGCCTCTCAGAAAAGCATGATTGTCTTGGGCAACCTCTGCGGCCCGGGGCTGCCGAACAGTACGTCACAACAAACCCAGAGCAGTCGAAGGGACAGCCACCCTCCAGGGACAGAGCCCCTTTGAGACTCCAGCCCTAGAGGCCCCAAGGAGCCAGAGCAGAAACAGGAAGCAGGCCAAGGTGGGGGCTTTGAGACAAACTGGGTAATTTGGAGTGGTGGAACCTTTTCAAAGACCCTGGAATAGAGCGTCACAGAATCTACAGCCAGGATTTGTCAGGAAAATCAGTGGTTATGCGGAGAGGGTGTGTAGTTCAAATCCCCACTGGGGCATTCACTGGCTGGGTGATTTACAGCAGAATTGCAGATAAGGCATAGTTTCCCTCAACCCATAGAGGATTGAAGGAATTGATGTCTGATCCCTGGTAGGCACTCAAGAAATATTAGCTGTTGTAGTGATTATTAATCTACATTGTTCCAAATAAATTAGAAAAGCAAAATGTTTAGCACAGAGCCTGGTACCTAGTAGATGCCTAATAAATACTAGCCCATGCTCTTCATCCCTGACTTCTGTCCAAGAAGTGCAGCTTTGGGGAGGCTAGCAGAGTGGCCTCCTTTCTTTAGAGGCATCCTTTCTCCAGCAGAGAAAGGGGTTTGGTGAACCCGCTGACAATCACTCTAGGCGAATGATCCTGTTCAGTTTCCTCCTCAGGGCTGGGCACCGGCCAGCCTGGCGGTAGCTTCTGTTTTGCAGGTGGGAGGCAGTAGCCAGATGCAGACAAGAAGGCCTTCATTCGCCTGCCTTTGCTGTGCCTCCCAGTGAATTCACATCCTGTGTTCTGCCTGAGCCTCAGCCTGGCCCAGTTCTTGGGAGATTACCTTTCCTTTATCTCATGTCCAGGCATCTAGAAAAGCCAACACCCTCACCCCAGTCAGCAACCAAATGAGCTTCCAGAGCTCCGACTAGCCCTGCCCTGCCCACGGCTCAGGACCTTGCAGGAATTGGGAGGGAATGTGCCTCCTGGGCCCATGCCCAGCTCTGACTGAGGCTGGGCTGAGGGCCTCTCCTTGTCCCTCCCCCACAGACACACAGGGCTTTATAGTCAGATTATGCCATGGAAACTATGCACACGGCCTGCCCCGTTCACATGGCCTCAGAAGAAAAAATAACAGTGCCTCCTCTCTCTGCCAAGACCCACAGTCCTTGTAGGCCTGAACTACCAAAGCAGACCTCTTATGTGAAACAGGTCCCTGTAAAAATCTCAGGAGGTCATGCCATTGCACTCCAGCCTGGGCAACAGAGCGAGACGCTGTATCAAAAAAAAAAAATCTCAGGAGGACTTGTTTGGGGGTGCCCTTAAATCATTTCCCCTCCCCCTGCCCCTGGCCCTCAGCTTCTCTCTCCTCAGACATCTGGAGGGCTCCTCCCGCCAGGAACAAAGCCTTATATGGCGATGTCCTTCTGAGACCAGCTCATTTCCCTCTCTAGTATCTTCCTTAGGCCCTGGGAGCCCCACTCTGATCCTCCCCGAGCCGCCCTCTTCCTCTTGGGATGAAGTCAGCAGAGCCAACAGGGCGTGTCCATTTGAGCCTTGCCTGCCTTCCAGACCTGTGGTGTCTAATATGGCAGCCACTAGCCACATTTAGTAATTTATTCTTTATTTTTATTTATTTATTTATTTTGAGAGTCTCACTCTGTCATCCAGGCTGGAGTCCAGGCGAGATCATGGCCCACTGCAGCCTCGACTTCCCCAGCTTAAGTGATCCTCCCACCTCAGCCTCCTGAATAGCTGGGACTACAGGCGCGTGCCACCATGCCCGACTAATTTCTCCTATTTTTTGGTGGATGTAGGGTCTCACTATGCTGCCCTGGCTTGTCTCAAACCCCTGAGCTGAAGTGATCCTCCTGCCTCACTCTCACAAAGTGCTGGGATTACGGGCATGAGCCACTGTGCTGGCTTTTTTTCTACTCAAGATAGTACTTTACGCATGTGGCAATTTAAATTTACATGTTACTCAATTACAAATTTTTAAATTAAAAAATCCAGTTCCTGGCTGGGCACGGAGGCTCACACCTGTAATTCCAGCACGTTGGGAGGCCAAGGCAGGCAGATCGCTTGAGCCCAGGAGTTCGAGATCAGCCTGGGCAACATGACGAAACCCCATCTCTACTAAATAATACAAAAATTAGCTGGGCATAGTGGTGCATGCCTGTGGTCCCAGCTGCTTGAAAGCGCTGAGGCGGTAGGACCACTTGAGCCCAGGAAGGGGAGGTTGCAGTGAGCAGTGATTGGGCCACTGCACCCTAGCCCGGGTGGCAGAGTGACACCCTGTTTTAAAAAAAAAAAAAAACGAGAGAGAGACAGGATTTCACTGGGTTGCCCATGCTGATCTCAAACTCCTGGGCTCAAGTAATCCTCCTGCCTCAGCTAGGAGCACTGGGTCAGAGTTCCAGAAGCCGAATTTCTAGACATGGGTATAGCCATGGCATGGGCGGGGTGGAAAGGCAGTGAGTTCTGTATTGCGGGGCGCTTCACTCAGGGCCTGGAGGACACCCTGCCTGGGATGCTACAATGAGGCCACTTGCTTCAGATAAGGGAAGAGCCAGCCCAGATGAGTTCTAATGTCTCATTTATTTCTGGGATCCAGATTCTGGGCCTGGAACTGCTATAGCCAGAGGGGTTTCTATAAGAAACAGAAGCAGGACCCACAGATCTTTGCTGTCTTAGTTTTCAGCATCACAAGACTCTGGCTCCTTTTCTAGATTCAGAGTCTGGGCCCTGGCCCCTGTCTCAGGCTGCCTCCCTCTACCAGTTCCAGGGCTGGGGGCTGGGGGCTGGGGGCTGGGGCCTCTGAGAGCATGGGGCGTGTCAGAATGGGGAAAGTGACCGGGGCTGGCACGCAGAGTTGAGTCTAGCTAGTGAGCTGGGACTAATGAACCTGAGAAAGAACAGG